GGTGCCAGCGAAGTAGCAGCGAGAAATATGTCCGCAAACGGTGATATTCAGGCTCCCGAAAGCCAGCCTTCGCAGTTTAGAAATGTACAAAGGTGAGTTATTAGCAGTGCATTTGATGGCTGCTTCTCGCCTCTGATATCGCTGAGAACTCCACTTATGGGAAGAGAGATATGCTGCGCCAGCTCATAAGCTGTTTGGCTCGCTTCTCTTTACAGTCATGTTGGTTTGACGTTGTTGCTTTACCAGTATCCTTCCTTGATAATCCAACTGTAGGTATATTTACCCTAAATCTGTGGAATTTGAACTTTAGCTGCTCTGATTGCCAATGCACATTAATGTCTGCGCCATTTTTCATGCGTCCCTGTCTAGCAGTTATCAATGCGAAGCGATGTGTTTTGATTACCAGACATATAAGAGCCTAGACTTAGAAGCCTAGGCTATAGGAGCTGTTTTTCAACTGGTGTAGTGGTGTATTTTGTTCAAGAAGCACATCGGGAGGTAGAATGACCGAGGAAAGTTATGGTAGTAGCTAGCTGAATGGGATGTTGCACAGGGACTTCAATAAAACACTATGGAATTAAACGAAGCATTCATAATTAATAACAAAATGTAGTACATATGATGTGGGTAGGATCTCCATGGCCTGTACTGTCCTTTTGTTTAGCTTATGGAAGGAGGGATATTAATCCTCAATGGATGGTTGACTGTTTGTGTAGATTGTGTGAATACCCATCGACTTCCCCCCTCCCCAGGATAATGCCTTGAACTCTGCGCCGTAAAATAAGCAGAATTTATGCTTCAGCTGTCCGTTTGTCATTTCAAGAAATGCAGAAAGCTCACGCAATTCTAATAACTTTTGAAAGTTGAAAGAACTCTTATGCATTTTAGATCGCAGCCGCATGCAGCCTCCTCGTTCCTGGGGCAGCTCGTCCCACGAGTTCAGCATCTGCTTGGCACAGCACATTCGCATCCAAGTAAGTCTTCCATATCAGCCCTATTTTTACGCATTTTCAACAATACTCCCGCACTGTGCTCTTAATTTCACTGAAGTACTGTGTATGTGTGTGTGTGTGTGTGTGTGTATTTGTATGTATGTAATGTATGTATGTATGTATGGTATGTATGTATGTATGTATATATGTATGTATGCATGTATGTATGTATGTATGTATGGTATGTATGTGTGTATGTGTATTGCCAGTTTCCGCGTCGGTGTGATACGGTGAATAGAAAATGCTGCGATATTGATTTAATATTTTTTTTGCCCGGGTTCCATTTCACAGATCTGTTCTATGAATATCTTGCCCTTAGCGTTTTTTCGCTAAATCTGTTTATTTTTTATTGTTTTCACTCTTCCGTGGAGAAGAAACGTATAGGTTCTTGAATATACTTTATGTTCCCCAGCACAGTTCGTTTTTTTTTTTTTCGTGTCTTCGAGTTACATTGTCTGATCTCTTCTCAACTTGTTTGTGAGCATTTTTTGAAAGAGAGAACTCATGGACTGCCTTGCCAGCAGGTGATTATTGCTGTTGGTAGGAAGAGCTATCACTTAAACTACTTCCGAGTGCCTCAGTTTCTTATAGAGAGTGATTATTTTTGATGTCAAGTGATAGGTAATTTTTGCGTTTTTTGAATGCTTTGCTTTTTGGATCCCTGAATTTTTCTTCAGATAACAGAATTTGCTTGTTTTATAAAGTTCATGCATCATTTTTTTATTCTTCTCTCGCTGAAAATTTGGCGTGAAAGCGTTTTCGCAATTTTTTCTAGAAAGCGCTCTGTAGCAGCATACCCAGTCGTTTACTGAGGGCATTTCTTGGT